TTGTCTTCGTTTTTTTTTTTTTGGAAGTCACAAGCCGCCTGCCCAAAAGAAAACTATTTCGTCCTCAGAATCCATATTTTTATGAATGGCGCGAAACGTAATGCTCCCGTCAGAGTTTGTAAAATCGTAGTAAATTCGTGTCGTGTGTGACTGCCTCCGTACGATTTTCGGATAAACTCAATCGTGACATGTGCCAGAGCTCAGGACGTTCCGACCTTCAGAATCGCACCGTGTACGCCCGCCTTAAGAAGTTCGTAAAAACGATCCTACGACTGATCTTAATATTACAGTCTGTTTCCCAACAGGATCGTAACTTCATCGTAATCAAAATCATCGTAGATCTACGAGTGCTCTGGAGTAATCGTAAAGCCTTAAGTGCATCGCAAGAAGACAGATTTATGCGGTCACCTGCAGGACAATCGGCAGATTACACCTTTAACTTTATTCAAGTGCAATGTGATTATGATATAAGTATATGATTGTACTTTATTGTACACTTTATTACTCGTTTTTGTTGTTGTTGTTGTTTTTTTAAATGAATTTATAAATGAAATAATTAAAAAGGGCAGAAAAAATAGAAATATACATCTAAATTAAATGACTGAACAAAAAAAAAAAGTCAATGACTTGCTGACTTGCACGAAAACCAGCAATGTATTGGATCCGGAAATAACGTTTCTATATAGATATTATATAGCCTACTATAATATATATATTTTTTATAAAGTATATTGTATATTAGTATGTAAAGTATAATATTATACGTACTTCCTTGTTTTCTGTAGAAAGCCTCGTAAGTCCTGTCGAAGTGATGGTTAGGTGGGGAGGCGGCGGCACCTGGCAAATCGTGCAGGGGCACGGCAAGCCCGTCCAGTGCTGAAACGAGCCCCCGAGCTGCAGCGGAGGTGTAGGGGTGCTCTTCATCAAAGAGTGCGGCGCCCTGATGGAAGTAAGTCCCGGTAACGTGGCGGAAAGCGCCGAGGAGGTGGACGAGGTCAACGCGCTGCCGAGGAGAGGGTGCACCTGGTGCGCCGCCGCGCTCGCCGAGTGCGCACCGCCGTGGCTCACAGTCCCGCAGTGAAACGCCGAGTGGTGCCCGCCGTAGATCTCACCCACCAGCCGCTTCATCTCGTCCAGGGAGCTCGTCAGCATCAGGATGTAGTTTCTGGCCAGCAGAAGCGTGGCGATCTTGGACAGCTTCCGCACAGACGGCCCGTGCGCGTACGGCATGACCTCTCGGAGCCCGTCCATCGCCAGGTTCAAGTCGTGCATGCGCTTGCGCTCTCGGCCGTTGATCTTCAAGCGCAGATGCTGGACCTCCTGCTCGGTCACCTGCTTCTTGAGCTTGTACTTGCTGCCGGAGGGCGTCTTGGACGCGTGCTCGCCCGTCATCTTCTGGAGCAGCTCGTTCTGCGTGGAGGACACGGAGTTCAGGCGTCCGTCTTGAGGATGGTGATGGAGGTACATCCCATCCATGTCTGGAGAGGAAGCTCTGCTGGAGCTGGAGTCCGAATTCATTTTATGGCTGCGCTTGGGTAGGAGGTTGTCTCTTTCTCTTGCCTTGTTTTTATTTCAAGTCACTCCTGCTTAATCACCTGATTTATCCCACTGGAGCCTCTTTTTTTCTCTCTCTCTCTCTCACTCTCACTCTCACTCTCACTCACTCCTTCTCTCTGTAGATCGAGGCCGCGTCTCCTGGTTTGATTTCGGTCGGAGATGCACCTCTTGCTCTGTGGCGACGCATCACAGGGCTCCGTATTTATAGTGCTGCACGAGAGGGGCCAAACAAAAGGAGCCCCTCTATTCATAACGGTCTTGTTAGGATGACGTCCCCATTATCTGGAGCGGTGTGCTTTGACTGTCCCATTGACCAAAGGAGCATCTATTCATATTCATTGTAACGACACCATGGGGAGACACTTCAGCCCAGGAGCCTCTGAAACTTTGCAAATACTTCTCCACTCTTAAGAAACGATGCCGGGTCGCTTACAACGCACCCTGCATCATTCCTTTCCCGTCACAGATAAGCACTTATAATACCTACATACTGTGTGTATATCAGGCTTACTGCTGTGTATCACAGAATGATACTGTATTATCACTTTCGTTAATATGAAATTAATATTAGCGAGCATGATTACATTAATGATTTTAAGCATTGGATAATGTATTTTATTAGACATATCTGATTCTTGAAGTTTGGTCTTATACTGTTATGCTTGTTATAAAACACAAATTCACATTAAAATAGGTGTTGTGTAGAGCTATTTTAAAGTTCGCGTATGTCCGTCGACATTGAAATCTTAATTTAATTGAAAAACCTTTAATGCTTTAAATCTAAAGATCAATCAGAGTGGTACCTTTTACAGTTTTTGACAACTTAGAATTACATTGTTGATTAAGGAAATTGATTTGAAATTCTGAAAACTCGAAAGAGTAAGAAACAAAGATATTGTTATTAATGCAAGTATTTTTTTTAATGTTTATAATTATTATTATTATTTGCAGATAACAAATTTAGATTAAACTTGTGGATGATTTTTTTTTTCTCTTAAGGTGAAATTTAATGCTGATACTGCATAATTTCATTTTTAATTTAATATATATATCTGTTAATTTCATAAATACTTCATCACATTTTTAAACCTATTTTCCTGGTATAAAATGGCTAAAGTTGCTTTTGTGTGTCTATGCAATTATAGTTCATTACATTACAGAAACAAAATCAAGATATATAAACATTATAATATTAATAAATTACTATATCACCTGAACTGAATGAAAATAGAATTATGCATGTATCAGTCATATACATACATTTAGCCAATTATCTGACAAGAAGCTATAATTTTATTATGGTACCAAAAAAAAAAAAGCAGGCAATATGTACAAATATTGGTCATACTGATTTATGCTTACTTAGCGAAATATGTTACAAGATTGTTTGATTGAATTTGGCATAATTTGTTAAGTATTACAAACAGAGCAAATATTATTATTATATATTGGTAAGTTAAATATGAAATCCATGTATCTTTACAATATATAAATTATCCTTTCACTGGCAGATGATGCTCAGATGCCGTGCCTGAGATTATATCTGTTATGATATACTGTTACAGTTTTCAAATAAAAGGGGGTTCTAAAGGAGTTTGTTAATATGAAACAAACTAAGAAAAGTCAAATAAAAGAAAATACTGTTTGTAATAATAAGATTATGTATGATATACTTATGTATACTGTCTCATAATTATGAAATGGTCTAGATTTCTGTGTACAAATTAAAATTCAAATATAAAAAACAAGGTAACCTTTATGTAATGAAAATGAAAGCAGGTACAATGTGAGATGAAAACAGCATTCTGGAATTGGTAGAAGTTCCCAATTTCGTGTATGCAAGGGAAAAAAAACAAGAGTCTTCCCTCTTGTAGTCTCATTGGTTTTCCACAGCAATAAAATCCCCACATAAAAAGAGTGAAAACATGAATTCACTGCAGCATAGAGGAAGATGAAAGGGAATCGTTTCTCATAAAGGTGCTGCAATGCAAAGAAAAGCTCGGGGCTGCTTTACTCTCTCTTGGTGGCATTTGAAAGTGTAAAGCTTTGAATACCAATTGCTTGAACTGGACATATGTGAATCCTTTTTAATCCTACTAATCCTGTCTCCAAGTGTTTCTTTGTCTGTGGGGGCGACCACATAGATCTAAGTGAAAGTGTTCCTAATCCGGCCAATGTGGAAAAAGGTCTCAGTGTGTGAGTGGAGGGGAGAGGGAAGAGTTCGGAGGTGTGGAGACAGGAGGGGGGAGAGACAGGGATGATGTGGCCGTTACGGGGATGTAGAGTGGCGGGGGTCTCATTTACTCACTGCTGCTCCGAGAAGGAAACCCAAACAGCAGGACCCCCTTCACACACAGCCCAACCCTCGGAGCCAGGGGCGGCGGTACGGCCTCTGTAGGCAGAGCCATTGTTAAGGCTCTTTATAACAGCCGTACTAGTGTTGTTCCCCGACACGGCTCCTGTTCCTCCAAAATACACAGAGCTGCATTCCATGTAGTTGGTTTGGTCGGGGTTGCATAAACAATAACTAAGAGCAACGACGGCAAGAATGCAGTATGAGGTATGCACTGAAAAGCACAATATTTGCAGACATTTCAAATTCTAAAGTGGCTCCAAAAACTATTTGCACGATTGTGACCCTGGACCACAAAACCAGTCATAATGGTCAATTTTTCGAAATTATGGAAGTCAAAGGCTACCAGAAACTGTTTGGTTACCAACATATTTTAAAATATCTTCTGTTGTGTTCAGCAGAAGAAACAAACTCACACAGGTTTAGAACAATATGAGGCTGCAAATGATGACGATGTTAATTTTTGGGTGAACTATCGGTTTAACAGCATTTTTATAAGCCAGCTGAAGTAGAACTAACCTTTTACTCTTGGTGACCAATTTAGACAAGTCAGATGTAGGCTTAAAAAAAAAAAAAAACATTTTCAGATTAATACTTTTTGTTTTTATCTTTTTCAGAACTGTAAAAAAAAAAGTTTTGTTCTTTTTTGTTACAATGCCATAGGGTTTCTGAAAGAATGAATCTTTGAATCCCTTGATTCTATATTCTGTTATCTTACAAGTAAACAAACCTTGAAATTTGAGAAATCTAATTATCATTGTGATCAAACGATAAAAGCTCACTAATTAAAGAGCTTGTAAGATGCAGCACAATGAATGTGAGGTTTCTAATTAATATTTTCAGTGTTATTCTCCTCAAAGACGACATTTGCATTCATTAGGCAAAATCAGAGGAATTAGCATTTTAGTGCAAAAAAAAGGATACCTTTATGTTTCTCTTTAAATTGAGAAGTGTGAATAACTACTACTGCAACAAGTAGTTTACTTTTTAAAGCTGTCATTTAGTGTCTCAGAAACGTTTTTGAAACATTGGCAACGCTGGTCTAAAACACTCTATGTTCATTCAATTAATGCCTTATCAAACAGGCTTTCATATTGTTGTAGAGCACATACAATAAGATAATCCAGCATTACATAAAGATCTGTGTAATGTTAAAATACTTTTAGTTCAACAATGTGACACTATTAAAAAATAGGTCTGTTTGTCTGAACAACCCGACCAGCCCCACCCAGCAACACTGGCTTAACCAACGGCGTGAGTTTGAGGCGGGACAATCAGTTTATCTGACCAATGACAGTTCAAGAAACTTGTCTGCAAACAATCATTGTTTTTGCAGTTCCATTTGATTTCAAACTTTCCCTTTAATTTGGAGATGTTCAAAGGCTTTAATCTGTCTCTGAAAAGACATTATGTTTGCAAACATTCTGAAGTTCAGTGACCTTTATATGCAATATATGAAATAAATATATAGCGATTTCCCAGACTCACTCAACATATGTTTTCCTTCGATATGGACATATAAAAGAAACACATGCATGTTAAACATACAGTGCATGGCATACATTTGGAGCATAAATAAAATCGCTGATATGTACTGTTTTTATGTATTAATTTATCACAGGCCTATACATCTCTTGTGTAAATTATGCAAATATACATATATAATATATGCTTATATTGTAAACCTATATGTTTTGTACATATATCCATGCTAAACCCTGTCAATATATGTTGACATTATCTTTTATTTTTACATATACACTCTTAAAAATAAAGGTGCTTCACGATGCCATAGAATAACCTTTTTGTCTAAATGGTTCCAGAAAGAACCTTTAACATCTGAAGAACCTTTCTGTTTCACAAAAGGTTATTTGTGGCGAAAGAAGGTTCTTCAGATTATAAAAAGGTAAGAAAGAGATGGTTCTTTAAAGAACCATCTCTTTCTTACCTTTTTATAATCTGAAGAACCTTCTTTCGCCACAAATAACCTTTTGTGAAACAGAAAGGTTCTTCAGATGTTAAAGGTTCTTTCTGGAACCATTTAGACAAAAAGGTTATTCTATGGCATCGTGAAGCACCTTTATTTTTAAGAGTGTATAGACATATTAAAAATTAAGAAAAACAAATAGAAGCATCCAAAATGTGTATATAGTTGTTGTTTCCATACACTTGCATATATGAATAAACTATTGTTAACATATGTGGTCGCTACATATAATATCATATAAAAATTAACTATTAATTAAACATTTGCATATCATGGACATATGTACATATATACATTTAGAGCAATATATGCCATTATGAAATGGAATGAATGAAGAAATAAACTGAAAAGCTTTCCACGCCAGAGAAGGTGGAGCCCCAGAGCACCCCTACCCCTTATGTAATGGACCAATGGCAGTTTGGAGGTGTTTAAAAGCCAGCGCAAAGTTTTCCAGGAAGGTTTGTGCCGGCAAGCTATTTCGAACCCCCGAAACAAACTCCAAACAATTTTGTTTAAAATTATGTTACACCTGTTTATTACACAGCTCTGTGGAATACTTGTTTCTGATTGGTCAGTCGTGACATTCCGAGGTTTGTTATCCCTCGATAACAACCGGAAAAA